CCATATGTCCCACCGCGCTCTCTGAGGTCAGCAGACCAGATGCTTCTCTCAGTCCCAGAAACCCGTCGTAAGCTCAGAGGTGACAGGGCTTTCTCTGTTGCAGGTCCACGACTGTGGAATGAGTTGCCACTGAGTGTCCGGCAGGCTCCCACACTCTCAGTCTTTAAGTCTCGCTTGAAGACCCACTTCTATTCGCTTGCCTTTAACACGGTGTGATTTGTTTTGGTCCGGTCTGTTCTCTACTCTGTTGGCCATTTTAGTTAGCTTCTGCTGCTATTTGTATATGTATTTCTATTTTATGTTTTCCTGTCTGCTGTGCATGTTTGGTTCTTTTGTACAGCACTTTGGTTGGCCTTGTTGCTGTTTTAAGTGCTCTATAAATAAATTGGTATGGTATGGTATGGTATAAGTTTTGTCTTTGTTTGCAAGTGTTTGTAAGCACCCAAAAAAGGTCAGATCCTAGAACCACTCCTGGACTGCAAACCATCCATAAAGTAAAACCCCGACAATGATGTCAGAGGAAAAGGAGATGCAGCTCCTGCAGGTAAGGGGCGTTTCACTTTGGGACAAATTGTGATTGCTGGTTGGTAAGTTGCTGACAAGCCTGCTGCCCTGACTGGCAGGTGGTGTCAAGGATCCGACTCGTGCAAAACAATCATACATTTTACTGGCCTGTTTGAGACTGTCATCGTTTATTCCATATCTATTCAATACTTTAGTGAATCTAAGGTTAGAGGACTGGGTTTCCTTACAAAATCCTAATCTTCCTCTTCTTTCAGCTTTTCCCTCTTCAGGGGTCGCCACAGGAAGTCATCCTCCTCCATGTCACTCTGTCCTCTGCATCCTCTGTCCTCACTGCATCTACGTCCATGTCACTCTGTCCTCTGCGTCCTCTGTCCTCACTGCATCTACGTCCATGTCACTCTGTCCTCTGCATCTTCTGTCCTCACTCCAACTACCTCCATGTCCTCTCTGCCTGCTTCCATATATCTCTTATTTGTCTTTTTCCTGGCAGCTGCATTTCTAACATCCTTCTACCAGTATACTCACTGTCCCTCCTCTGGACATGTCCAAACCACTGTCCCTCCTCTGGACATGTCCAAACCACTGTCCCTCCTCTGGACATGTCCAAACCATCACAGTCTGGTCTCTCTAACTTTACCTCCCAGTTGTTCAACCTGTGCTGTACCTCTGATGATCTCATTCCTGATCTTCTCCATCCTTGTCTCTCCTAAGGAGAACCTCAACATCTTCATTTCTGCTACTTCCAGTGCTGTCTCTTGTCTTTTTGTCCATGTCTCTGTCTCCAGACCATACAACACAGCTGGTCTCACCTCTGTCTTGTAAACTTTTCCTTTGACCTTTGCTGACACCCTTTTGTCTCAAATCACTCCTGAAACTCTTCTCCATCACTCCATCCTGCCTGGACTCTCTTCTTCTCCTCTTCATTTTACACGGGTGCTGAGTTCAAATTTAGGGGTGCTTGAGCACCCCCACAAAAATAGGCTAATATCACCACTGCTGATTTGAGATGTCTTAGGACAAAACTTTTGTGGAATCTAATTCCAAGAAAAGGGTCATCATTTTACTTTATACATTTAGTATACTCTTTAAAATGAGCTAAACTTTTACTTTCTCCCTTTCCTGTACCTTCAGTGTCTGCTCACTGTGTTTCGTTCCTCCGTGCCTTCTCACCTTTGTCTTTGTGTCTGATGAGACCCTGCAGGATGAGGATGAAGTGGAGGTTGTTCTCAGAGTCACTCAGGGTCAACATGGCAATACCTCCCATACCAGAATTGTCCTCCTCGCACGTCAGCATCGAACTGAATGTCTCTGAGCAGAAAACACATGCACATCAGTGCGAAATGTCAACGTTAAGAAAGTCCATTTTCTACAAAAAATGCAGTTTGAATGCTGATTGCTGCAGGACTTTGGTGAAATAAGCTGAAGAAACTTAAGCTTCTAGTTAAAGCTTAAATAATTAATTAAGCAAAACATTACCTATAAGCTATACATACAGTAGTTAAAGACTAGGTTAAAGTAGCAAAAAGCAAGGCAAAAATAAAAAAATATAAAATACTATCTAAAAGCTAAAAGTATCAAAAGACTAGCTAAAATGGCTAACTATAAAGTAAACATAAGAAAAATGTAACTCAAAGCTATAAGTTGGTAAACACCTACAAAAACTAAAAGCAACATCATGTTAGCTAAGAGCTCAAAATAACAGAATAGGTCAAAGCTAAAAGAAGCAGAACAATAGCTGAAACCTAGTAGTAACAAGTAGCAACAAAAATTCAGATAGCTGAAATACAAAAAAGTAATCTAGTGTCAAAAGTATGAAAATGTTAAATAAAAGCTAAAACATTGCAGGAGCTAAAATACTAAATTAGCAGAGTGGTAGCTAAAAGCAGCAAAATGCTAGATAAAAGCAAAAATAGAAGAATAATGGCTAAAACATTAGTGAAACAGTAGCTAAAAGCTAAATGTATAAACAGAACAGTTAAAAAATGCTAACTAAAATATAAAAGTAGCAAAAGACTATCTGAAAGCTCAGCTATTTAAAATGCTAGCTCAAAGATAAAACTAGCAGATTAACTTAAAGCTAAAGGCAGCATTAGAAACAAAAAAGTTTGCTGAAGCAGAAGAGAACAAGGAGTTTGAAGTATGAAACAGATTTCAGTGTTTGTGGGGAAACTGTAAACAAAATCAAAACAAAGGATATTAAAACAAAAAGCTAAAGCCCCCGTGTCCCGAATGAGTTGAACATTTTGATATATGAACAGCTTAAAATAGCACAAAGTATGCAGAAGAATTTAATAAAACACAGTCAGGTTAAAAGCTGAAGTACTCTCATCAAAAGCAGTGAAACATCACTAATCCATGAAAAGCCCTGCATCATGATGTTATAACATGAGAGAATGAAAGGTGAGCATGTGTGTGCATGTGTGAGCATGTGTGTGCATGTGAGTGCATGTGAGTGCATGTGTGTGCATGTGTGTGCAACACACCAGCGAACAGAGCCCTGTGCTTGATGATCTTTCCCTGGACTTCTTCTCGTCTGCTCGTAGAGGAGGTCATGCTGATGTGCATTTGCTCAGACTGCAGCTGTCGCAGCAGAGGCTTCGGTACGTTCCTCCACACCCCACACATCTGCAGAGCCACACAAACACACGCAGGTAAGGGGCGGGATTACACACCAACAATAAACCTACAGTCTGAGACACGTTCTCCATTTGTCTTCCATTTAAAAGAACGTTTAGAACTGAAGTCAAAGATAAAAACAGAGGACACATTCACATCTGCTAGATTCATTGAATTATTTTGATTGCGCTCTTAAATCTTGGCTGCACAGCTTCAACGTGAAACCACAACTTTTCCCTCGGAGAAGAGAGAAGAAATGTGGCAGTGTGCCGGCACCTCATAACTCAGAGTTCAAGAGTAATCTCTATTTCAATTAGCAGTCCTCTCTGTCCCCCTGCTAGGCAGTGATGTAACGTGTGAAAAATTCCCTCTTCCTCCAGAAGTTCTGCTTCAACAAGCTCCCTCCTCCTTCCTTTTTTGGGCCGGAGTGTTTTCTCTGAGGTCCTCTGGTGCTTGACACTGCCATTTATCCAAAAAATAATAAAAACAGGCCCATTTGTGGGACCTGTATCCAGGGGCTGCCGTCTCGTTGAACAGAGTTTAGGTCAGACGTGGAATGTGAGAATGTGTGTATTTTAGCAAGAAATGATATGAAATGATGTAGTCAGACCTTTGGGCGAATGTAGGCAAACAAGTATAGTTAGAGCCCATCATCTACGCTGTAGGTTAACTAACGTGAAAATGAAAGTGTCTTTTTACCACTCTCCCTGGATTACACATCAAACTTGAGTTCTTGCTGTTATGTGTTATAATGGTTGCAGTCACGAAGAAAAGTTCAGGTAAAGGCGTTGAAGCAGAAAGGAGGTGTCACTGTGGATGTATACGAGCGTGTGGGGGCTTATTGTTTATTATTTCATGGAGACTGATGAGAAAACAAGTCAGACCCTGAGCACACTGTTCTGTGGTGAGAGCATTCATCACGTCGGCACCTAATTTCACTCCCCCTTCAGGAAACGCCGACGCACAGAGGTGAGACACTGCACGATGCAGATGGAGGCCAGAGGACATTGTTTTCTGTCCCTGTGGAAGCAAGTCTTACCATGTCTGACTGTCCCTTGGGGACTTTAAATTCAAAAGCAGTTGTCCCATCTGAGTCCAGGAAGACTATTTTACTGGGGCGGCCAAATCTGGAAAGAGGGGATAAGTTTTCAGTGACATGCATGGATAAAAAATTTAATACAAAAGGAATTCCATCCTTTTCTTAACAGTGCAGTGAAGAAGTATTCAACCCCTTACAGAGTTCTACTTTTGCTTATTTATACACATTTACTTCATTAAACAAATATTCATATCTGACAAAGATAACCTGTGTAAAAGTAGGAGTGCACCGATAAATCAGCCGGCCAATTTATCTGCCCCAATTTCCTTAATTTGGGAAAATTGGAAATCGTCCGATACTTGCATGAGAAACCGATTTTACTGATTTTTTTAGTTTTAACAACAATTGTCTGAACTTCATTTATATTTCAGAGCACCACCTCTTGGCCAGTTAAAACAAGTTTGTATTATTTCTAGGATACTGTTCAAGGGTCTGTTTTTCAACAAAATAAGGTTGAAAATGGAAGGTGCATTGTGACCTTACAACTCCTGACAGTGTCGATTATAAAACAAAATCGGTATCGGCCAAAATCGTAATCGGCAGGTCAGACCTTTTAGAAATCGGCAATCGGCCAGAAAACTGAAATCGGTGCACCCCTAGTGTAAAGACAAAGTGCAGTTAATTTATTTTAATGGAAACAAAGCTATTCGAAGTACCATGGCCCTTTGTGAAAAGTAATTACCCCCTAACTCAGGTGCCCAATATATCGATCGCAATCTCCCAGTCCATCTCGATCTACTGGTGGATCTCAAAGGTATTATGGGTAGATCACATGATCACATGGCATTACAAAACTAGACGTCAGCCTATCATCCATCTATGAAATTTGTTACTTGACTGACATACAGTGCAGGCAGTCTGAGGCCCCGTTTACACGACAGGAAACGTTCGGACGTTCATTTACAGACAACAGCCTCATTCTCTCTGAAACCGAAGGTTTCTGAATCCAAGTCAAGTCCAGGTTCTTTATTGTCATTCGTATCACATGTGGTACATGAGGTGGAATGAAATTGTGTACTCAGGATCCCAGTTACATGCAACAATAGCAGAAATATAAAGATCCAGATCTCAGAGTAGAGATTTTTGGGGGAACCCCCACGGAGGTATGAAACTCTCCAAGTGTGAAGTGGCACATGCGCACTACAGGCGACTGCAGTCCAAAGTTTTTCTGCACTAACAACAGTTACAATAAATGGCAGAAAGCACGGATGAAAGATGAAACGTTTCTAAATGTTTTAGTTTTTTTGAACCCGTCCAGAGGACCTGACTTTGTTTTAGAGGCAGAAAGCAGAGCTTTTGTGCTGCTCAGCCTTTTTCAGCATGAAGGAGCAAAACTAATAAGATCCAGGCTCCAGAGAGGCGTTAGTGGATTCACCAGTTTGGACTAACTGTCATGCAGACGCTGCAAGCGCAATGAATGCAGCTGAGCCGGCATCAGGGTTGCCAGATACATTTAACAAGTCTTATTTATCCCTCCTTTTCTGTGCACATGTTCAACGAACACAACACACACCTCATCTTAGAATGTCTTTACGCAGCACGCATGACAGTTTAGGTCAAAATACTGTCATTTTAAAGCCACAGTACTATAGTTCATAGCTTCTTATCTGGCAACCCAACGACATGAAAACTACAGCATTTTTTATGTAAACTTGCTAATTTTTTTGTTTATTACCCCCAATAAACACTGAAAAAACACTGACGTTTCCAGAGGTTGTTCTGTGTAAACAGGGCCTTATAGCAGGTAGATCACTTTGACTTGGTCATTTTAAAAATAGCTCCATGATGAAAAAGTCTGGACACCCCTGCTCTAAACCTAAAGTACTGTGTGTACTCCGTGAGCCACGTAGACTCTGTGCACACTGTCCGCAGATGGTTGAGACTTCATACTTGAGCATACACCCTGATGGGCTGCAGCCCAGCTCCTCAGGCAGGGGGCGTTTAAAATTGAGGTCACCGATTGGTCATTTGCTGACACCATACTGGATTGATTGACAGGTAAATTCATACACTGATGGGACACAAATCGGAGGCAATGAGGGGTTCAGTGTCTTGTCCAGTGACACTTCAGTATGTGACTGCTGGTGGATTCGAACCCCCAACTCTTGCATTGGAGGATGACTGCTCTAACCACTCAGTCACAGCTGCCCCACTTATAGACGCAATCAACCAAAAATATTAAAAATAGAAGAAAACAAAAGTGTCTTGCTGTCAAAACACTTGTTTTACCTCAGGTATGTAATTGAGAAGGTCATGCTGGTTCTGGTCAGAGAAAGACGAACTCTGGCAACTCCACTGGAGCTGGGCAGCCATGAGTCCATCACTCCTGTCAGCAAAGCCACAAATTCTGCAGAGGAATGAAATAGACCAACTTTATAACCTTAAACACGGGCCATGAGTGAAGAGAACAACTTTTTTCTTTGTGTTTATGACTAAAACTGGGTGTTTTCCATTGTTCTACCTCAAGCAGCAGTTCAGTACTTACCTGTGCGGCTCTCTCCCAGACCCGTGTTCTCGGAGCTCAGATAGGATCTGTCATTGTAAGATTTGTGGAGGTCATCTTCTTTCCCCTTCTCGTTGAAATACTCAAAGCTATCGAGCAAAGGGTCAGTCTGTTTTTTGTCATCTGCAAATGCAAAATAAAATTAAAAAACTGTAAGCAAATGGATTTATGTAGGAAACCAGAGTTTACCAGTATACAATCAAAATATATACATTTGGTAAGAAAAAAATGCTAATGTTGTACCCACTGTATTTTCAATCTGCTACACATTTCAAAAATACTGTACATGTTATCACTAGAGCCCGACCAATATATCGGTAGGGTTTATACTTTAAGCCAATTTAGATGTTTGGGGACATATCGGTATCGGAGATAAAACATCCCATTGGTTCAAGCACTTCTAAGTTTCACCCCTAAAATACTGGAACCAGCTGTAATTGTACAATGTATCCAGCAGAGATTGCATGAAGACTACTTTCAAGTCATGGTCATTCACTTAAGTTTCATTTTCATGTTCAGCACAGACAACGCAGCAATATTGTGGCGTATTTTGATGAACAGAGCATGATAAGTTTATTTTAACTGATCTGTAAAACAAACGAACAATAATAAATTCTGTTCAATCCTCCTACCTGCTTGTCACTAGTGTAGGGGAACACCATTTCAGAAACAGTTCACCTCAACTTAAACAGAAACAGTTCACCTCATCTCAAACAAACATCATTCATGTGTTTTGTGTTTTGAACTGTTTAAAATAAGATGCATCCATTCCCTTGGGAACAAACAGACTTTATTTTACAGGTGTTCAACTCAGCTCACAAACTCCTTAGTTGACACTAATGTGAATGTATTTTTTTTTTTTAAACTGTCACTGTGTTAACCTCTGTTAATATGAACTCATTTCACATGAAACGGACAGATTGTTTTAATGAGTTTGGTTCAAACAACCTTGAAGTGAAACATCTGTCGAGACTTTAACGTTTATCAAAAAGGAGTATTCCTCCCAGGATAGTTTCCCATGAAGATAACACATTTTAAAGAAACCTTTGTTTCATGACATTTTCTTTCCAGGAGATGAACAGCGACACCTTTAGATGAACATTGCATGTTATTTCAAAATATGTCATATCTGAATGTTTATTTATGAAAATGTGTGTTTTAAGTAATCTCTTTAAGATAATCATGTTTTATTTTCTCCTTTTAAAAAGAAGAGTGACTTTTTAAAGGCAGACAGAGAAAATGGACTGTGACTTTATAAAACATGACAAAAAGTTAGGACCCCCCCCTCTTCTGAGGTGTGGACCAAAGTCAGTCTATAAAGCCCCCAGTATACTGCCACGTACATCCATATGCAGAGGTACGCACGTACGTATGCAGAGGTACGAGCGTACCCCCCAGGGCATGTCTGTGCAAAGCTCAAATTTTTTACGACCGCATACGCGTACGCGGTGTCGCACAATAAACTTCCTCAGCAACGGACTGTTTTGTATGTGACACCAATGTATTAAATTCCCCTTCTTCATCTCTGATCTGGCCTTTTCTTTAGTTTTTTTGCCAAGAGGCAGTGATCTCTTCTTCCTCCGTTGATGCAATGACTGAAATGGTGAAAAATGAAGGAATCTGTCACGAGTGAATTAAACTCAGGTCCAGCATGGCTGCCAGAGTGTCTGGAGATTTCCTGGTGGGCTGGTCTGATGTGTGGGCTGTAGAGCCAGCGCTCTCTGTTTTTTAATTTTTTTAGATCTTCCTATTAACAACATATAAACACAGAACACCGCTGTGGCTGAGGCTGCCAACACTCTTTATTTTTTTTCCCGACCTGTTAATCAATCCAGTAGGTGTGTCAGCAAATGACCAATCGGCAACCTCAATTTGTCCGGAGGGTAAACGCCCCTTGTCTGTGAAGCTGCTCTGCAGCTGCTCAGGGTGTACGCTGGAGTTTAATGACTGAACCCTCTGCGTACAGTACACGCGTACATACGCATGAACGGATGTACGCGGCAGTATACTGGAGGCTTAACACACAGACTGTTAAGTTAAGTTTCACTTCTACACTACTTCTTCACTTATACTTCTTCACTCTACTTCATCACATCTTCTTCAACACATCTTCTTCAAGCATTAAACTTCAAGCAAACTTCAGAGAAGAAACTTCCTCCTAGTGAGATGTCCTGGGAATAAAGAGAACCAGAAGCAGAACCTGGCATTAACCTGAGATTTGTTACCAGAGCCATCAAATCGCAGAGTGGAAAAATCCCAGCTGACTCCCATATGGACCCTCGTCCCTCCAAGATGACAGGTGAACTGTGAGGAAGACTCAGCCTCTCAGTCACCAGAACATCTGGACTGGTACCATTTTTAAGCAGTTGTTGGACCATTCTGACCATCTCATTCTGGTAGGACAAAAGACCTTGAATGCCTTTCTGGTGATCATACATCACAATAATATTGCTTGATATACACCACAGGTAATTAAGACACAATTTCAACTACTCCACAAACAGAACCAGTCCAAAAACCTGCCTTTTTAAAAGTTTCACAGATTTGAATAATCAAGTATACCATTGCTAGAAAGCTATTTCGTTATTCATTTGTTTGTTATGAATAATCTACAAACCGGATTCCAAAAAAGTTGGGACACTAAACAAATAGTGAATAAAAAGTGAATGCAATGATGTGGAGGTGCCAACATCTAATATTTTATTCAGAATATAACACAAATCACAGATCAAAAGTTTAAACTGAGAGAATGTATCATTTTAAGGGAAAAATCTGTTGTTTCCAAATTTCATGGCGTCAACAAATCCCAAAAAAGTTGGGACAAGTCCATTTTTACCACTGTGTGGCATCCCCCCTTCTTCTTACAACACTCAACAGACGTCTGGGGACAGAGG